ACCAACAAGTCAGACATCTCAGGGTATTCCTCAAAATTTCATTCTGTAGCTGGGCTGGTTCTTCTAGTACTGTATCCCTGATGTGACCTAAGGTAACCACTTTAGGGACTCAATACTTCCCTATGTCTGTGATAGCGTAGAGGCACGCTTCTAGTTTTTCATGGCTGGATCACACCAGAGGAGATGCATTCTTCAATCCTTTAATACAGGCAAGGTTAAGTATCCCCTCCCTTCTCCCCAAGGACATATAGAAGATCTGAGTTTCAGAACAAATAGGATGTTTATCCTGATTCATGCCATATCATAGATTGGAAGGAGAAAATATATTTTCAGAAAATCAGAGAAAAATACTTTTCTCACAGGACTGATTTTACTAATATCTCTCTTTTAACCACTTACTCGTATGTGATATTTCCTCTAGCCTGTGTTTTATACAGGAATTGCAATATAGTTGTTTTCCTGAATTGATGTTTGTTAGTCTTTTGGGGACTAATATGTCATTGAATACCAGTGCTAGAGGGATGAAAAAAATATGAAGGTCTCCAAGTCATCCAGCCCAAGTGTTTCAACAGGAGTCCATTTGGAAGTTCACTTTATTATATTGTTGCATGAATAACAAGATTAAATGAATGCTTGTAATGAAGCTTACTATCTTGTAATTTGAAGGCAGTATAGAATTTCTTACTTAGTTTTGGTAGTACAAATGTTAAGTTTAATTACTTAAGGAGCTGAAGAAGATTCGGTACAAACATCAGTAAATACAAAGTGTCAGAATTGCTTAATATCCAAGAGCTTCACAACTAGGGAAAATGAGGATTAATTGTTTGAAATGTTTATTTTTTGAAATACTGATAAATATCTTATGCTATCTAGATCTGTTTTACATTGTTTCTGTTTATAATCTGCAGGTTGTTGCATTGTCCTAATTGTTCGCAAAGGTAGTGAAGTTAAATTCAAATCGGTTACAACTCCTGGATGAGTTGATTACCTGGCTTGTGTAAATTGGCGTAACTCTTCTTACTTTGATAGAAATATGTTAGGGTGGAACTGTTGAAATTCTGACCCAATATGTCCAGTCTCCAGCTCATCAGCTTTAAATAATAGGACTTTTTAATGGTATTTTAGGTTGTTTAAAACCTTTTTCAGCCTTGTGCACCTAATTAAACTTCTTACCTTTCACGTATCAAGTAAACTACCTGCTTTAACTGCTTTTAAAGTATTTAATGCCATACTTAATTCAAAATGCAAACAAATCAAAATAACAGGCATCTCTTGACGCTGCCTGCTGCATCTTTTAAATACGCCTTCAGTTCTGCTTAGCCTGATTCTTTGAGAGAGAATTGCTAGGAAAGATATCTAAAGAAGAGAGATCAAGAAAACTTTAATGACTTGTGGGGCGCAGCTTCAAAGTAATCATCATCAGCATAACTACTTTGTGGTATAAATGCATTTCTAGCCTAATAAACAAGTGTGATGTAAATTTTCATTGTGGTAATAAAAAGTTAATTTAGTTGTTGGAATTGTGATCTTGAAATCTTGTACATAGTAAAGTTGTCCAATATGCACAATGTGTAGGAAAGAGCAAACTTGAATTAATTCCTAGATGAAATTAGTATGCATTGCACTTCAATGATTTGTCTTTGTTTTGTTTCTCTAATCAAAATTTCAGTTAATTTCAGTTTTGTTCTCTGCCTCCCCCACATTAGTTCCATTGTCTTGATTTGCATCATTTGTAGCAGCTGGCTTCTTGTCAATCTGTAGTTTGGACCTTTACATCAAACAGCAAATTAATTACAGGAAAAGAAATCCCAATAGTACTTCTACGCTTAGAGGCTTTCACAATTGTCAAGAAGTGAATGTTGATGATTCTTGTCAGAAATGAGAAATTGAACATGGAGAAGGGGGCAGCGCAATGCTTCACAGGTGCCATTAGTTATCTCTAGAAGTAAGTGTTGATCAGTTGCCTGCACCTTCCCTTTCCTGGACACTCCCCTCATATGTTATAAAGTTAAACTAGGAAAAAATAACAATTAAAAAAAAAATACTATGAGATACGTATTTTTTGTTAAAGGATGCATAGCCTTAATGAGTCGCAAGTGCAGAAGCACTCTGGGAAGTTTATTGGAAGGCCTGTTTGTATCCTGTTAGTTCTTTTTCCGTGTATCACATCTTGACTACATAACCAAAAAAGCCTACTTGAATTCTTTCTGTCATAACTAACCCGTTTTTCTTTCCATAAAGAGAAATCAAGAGACCCTTTTAAAATCAATGAGCATGTACAAAAGGCTCATGAGTGTGTTGTCCAGAAGGTCCCCATAGAAACAGACATTTAAAATGTGAGCAGGGTTTAGACCCTCAACTTCAGCAAGTAATTTAGTCTTCTGTCAAGTTGCTGCACTTTGTTAAATTCCTCTTCTTCTTAATGGCCTTTAGTAATGGTTAGGAAATTAACGTTGCTTTTGTATTTTGCTGCACTTCTATTGTTCTTTAAAAAAAACCACAACGAAACAACAAAATGCAGTGTTCAAATAACACTAGTTACTGTGGTGGGAAAATAGCCAAAGCAAGTGGAGATGAGGAAGTAGGTATATGGTATTAACATGAGAGAGATATACTCTACTTACAGTGAAATATACTCTATTGAAATGATGGCCTAGTTTAGTCTAATTTATTTGCTATCTTCTATTGCTTATTTCCCCCATTTTTATGTTTTTCTTGAACAAATAGGTAAGATTTCCTTGGCTATCTTTTCAAGATACACATCATCTCTGACTTTCTGATGGTTTTTGCTATCCTTAGCTGAGCTATTTCATGTAGTCTATCTTTCCAGTAGTGCACAGATCACAAAAGAAGGTAATACCTTGCCCAGCTCTTAAGAGAATATTGAATTTGGTCAGATACAGTGTCTGTTTTGTAGCAATATCCTCCCTCATTTTCCATACCATATTGTTAGCACAGTTTAAGAGCTCAGTCCAGCATTATTCCAAGGTCATTTTCAAAGTCCTGCTGTGATTCTGATTCTTTTATGTTTGTCTCTGGTTTTGAGCTGAATGTGAAATTTAGTGGTTTAGCTTTTGAATGGGAAACTTAATTTACAACTTGTCAGTTCGTTTACAAAATGGGTACCACTGTGAAGGATTCTCCTAAATATATATGCAGCCTTTCTCTTTTGTTCTCTGCTCATTTCTTTGTTCCCGCAAAGCATGGAAATACACAAAAATCACTTCGAAAATCTAAATTCATAGCTGTCACTGCTGACCGTATCCTCCGGGCCTTCCAGGCTGTGCCGGCTGTGCGAGACAGCAGATGGTGGCTGCACATGCAGGGTATCCATCCAGGAAACAACGCTTGCCTTCTCTCAGCATCGCTGCCCTTTGTCTGCCCACAAAACTCCAGTTTATTGACGAAACTTGAGTGACTGCTTGTAGAAATGTCAGGATCTTTTTTTTTTTTTTTTTTTTTTTAAATAGAAACCCTCTAAAATGTTACTGTGTTACTTACCATACACGTATCCAGGTGCACCATTTGTTGTCTCTTTTTTGTGGTGTGTTGCTGTTAGGTGTAATCTCTGAAATGTTTGTGATGAATCAACTATCATAGGCTTTGAAATGTGTGTTTAACTTTCAAGGTACTTAAACGCGTTTTAATCCTGTGTGGATAGAATAGTCCAAAATGACTGAGCATCTGCTAAGCAGCAGGTTATAGCACGAGTTAGAGCCATTAAGTCCATTTGGATTTGTCTCCAACTGTAATAATGACAGTATATAAAACAAGAAAACTTTGGATACGTGAGTCATTCAAAATACTCAGTCCCAAATGAGGTGTTGCTGCGTATCTTTAGCTTTGACAGCTGAGATTTGCTTTGGAGATTCTGCATAAGAGAAGCTAAGCTTTGTTGATTAAATTACAACTTTTTCCCTTCTTTTTTAATGGAGTGTGATCTAAGTCTGAATAAACCTATTCCCTGTCTTAAAGTGAAGACTGTTCAATGGTTGTGTGGGTGAGGTAATCATGATGAGCCTGGCAAACTTGTGAAGCATTACTGCTATAGAAAACCAAACTGAAATACAATGGTATTTACACAGACGCAAAGGGACCTGAAGCAGTGGGGACAGACAGGAGCCCAGAGCACAAACATGATTCATCCCAGCCTGAACTGTGTCTCGTGCTCATAACACTGAGTGTCATGTTTGGAAAAGGAGCTCCCCTTGCAAGGTTGACGAATACTCATAGATTCCTGACTTGTCACACGCCGAAAGTCACTTGTTTTCAGTACCAAATACTCAGTGCATCATCATTAAGCATTGTGCTTTGCTCTCTATAATCGAGCCTGCTACTTGAACTAGGATGTCTTTTTTGGATTTTTCTAGGAAGTGAGGAACTGAGATTCAAGTCATCTTTTTAAATAATTATTTTTATACCACTGGAAACAACAACAACAGTATTTATAGCCAGGATAAAAAGTCAAACAAAATTGTCAAAGTGCGTGCAACTCGTTCCTTGATTGTTTAAAGTTTAACTGATAAAATGGGAGATTTCTGTCTCTGTGGTTATGTGAATGGTAGCGCTGGTTTCTGTTAAGTGCTCTAAAACGATGGATTTCTGCAGGTAAAGTGATGGGTGTAGGTTTCATAGTGATTCTAAAATTTGTATCCCAAATGACTGAATTTCTGTTGCCCTTATTAAGGGATGGGAATGAGAAATTTTTATGCATGGATGGCATGATAGCATAGAGGTTATAATTCATTCACCACTTTATACTTCCCCTGGAGTCCATAGATATTTTGCTCTGATAGTTTTATTGGCCAAACAAACCTGTTAACAAGCATGAAAGTTCCGAGAGACATTTTAATAATAAAATGACCAATTTATATACGGAGAATTATTCTTTGGAATTTAAAACTTGTAGAAAAGAAATATACTTGAATTGGTTTTACTTTTGCGGTTTTAGTGTATTTTTAACACGTGATTTCACAGATCCTTAATATTTTTAAATACAGGTAACGAATTTGGGCATCCAGAATGGCTTGACTTCCCCAGAATAGGGAATAATGAGAGCTACCACTATGCCAGAAGACAGTTTAATCTTACTGAGGATCATCTTCTTCGCTATAGATTCCTAAATGCATTTGATAGAGATATGAATAAATTGGAGGAAAGATTTGGCTGGCTTGCATCTCCCCAGGTAAGCTGGATATACTAAATGATAAGTTTTTAGTCACCAGTTGGGTACGTGTCCAGAATAACAACAATACCAAATTTGCATGCAGAAATTTTAAACAGCACTTTATTATGCGCCGCATAATGCCCCACCATATATTTCAAGTTGTCAAAACATGTCACTGAAATATCTTCCACAGATAATAGAAATCTGAAACAGTCTCCTTTTAGCTTCATAGCAAGCTCTTTTCCTATTATTTTTGCTATTTTTATTTTGTAACTGCAGATTGGATAAAGCAGACTATAAAATTGTTTGTAATCCAATCCAAGGATTGCTTTGGGAAAGTGTAAATTGTTCTGATGATTTACTTCTATATAAATAATTACTCTGTTACCAAGAAAACACTTCCAGCAGAGTATAGTGTAAGTTATAGTCTCCCAGTCTTCAACCTGTCACTTTTGTCTTTGCATTTTTTACCCAAATATTTCACTGTATATTTTTTTTGTAAATATTTTGTATTAAGGCAACTCAATTACTATAATTTCTCAGTGCTTAATTATTTCATACTAGTAATAATCCACTTTAAAGATTTTTTTTAAAATCGATGTTAGTTATTTATTAATGGCTTTAGCAAATAGAACAAAGGTGGCATGTGCAGAAGTTTAATGTGGCTTATCAAAGCTATTTCTCACACAGATTTTAAAAAACATAGAAAACAAAAAACATATCCAGTGCTTCATTTGCTAAATTACTAACAATAGATGTGATGCAGATCCCCATGACAAACAAATTGAAGATTTTATTTGATAAAGGGAATACATTTTTTGCTAAAGGAAAGTGTGACAAAATGACCACGTTACCAACCTTTGATCAAGAATTTTTCAGGTGCTCTGTACCTAACATGCTTCTACCTCTTTAATTTTACATTGCCTTATAAAAAGTAAGCCACAGTTTTGTAATCAAAAATTTTATATGACGTTACATAGGTAAACAATTTCAGTTTGCATGTTAATGCACTTGTCTATGTTGTTTGAATCTTTGACTGTTTTACTTGAAACAAGGTATAGAAGCAGTGGGGTTCTTTTCTTTTATTGTTAATTCAGTTAGAAATGAAATATTTTATAGTATTGGATTTTTATTACTTTCTTTCCTAGGCCTTTGTGAGTGAAAAGCATGAATCCAATAAGGTCATAGCATTTGAGAGAGCAGGTCTCATTTTTATTTTCAACTTCCATCCGTATCAAAGTTACGTGGACTACAGAGTGGGTATGGAAACTCCAGGAAAATATCCTTTTCTTTACTATGTACAGAAAAGCTTTAGAAGTTGAAAACTAGTTTTATTTCTGTTTTCTAATATAAATGCAAACTGTAGTTAAACGGTAAGAAAACACTTATTTGTCAACAGTATAATCCTGCTTTAATTCTTAGTGTACACCAAAAAATAATGTAGAAATTTGCCTTCTTTATAAGAGACCATTTTGTGGAACACTAAAGCAGAAAGAGTGATTTAAAGATTACATGTTCGTTTCCTTGTGATGCCTTGTTTTTTGGAGTTATGTTGAGGCATGAAAGAGCAAGCAACTCCTCCTTGTTAAATAAACTACAGAAGTGACCACAGTAAGATGAGGCTGTGCACGCAGGCACACAGGAAAATGCATTAGCTTAAACCTGCATCAGGAATGTTGTACAATTTCTGTTTTATAATTGGGTGGACTAAGAATGTGCTCTTGGCTCAGCTGAGAAGCCGTGAATGATTACTCTTGAGTAATTGACTGGTTTTGCGTTTATGTCCAAATTCTCAGCATTGAGGGAGATTAAAAAAATTAATGCTAACTTACTGGGGGAATTTAGTTTGCCCAAATTCAGTTTGTTTCAAGTGCTTTGACAGCCAGAGTCTAGTGAATCTTGCTGTGCCATTATAAAGCACTGCAGTTCCAAACTTTTGGCCTACTCTTTATTTATTACCATCTTCACTAAATCACTGCCATATTTCACTTGCTTTAGTTCAGTGTGGGACCTTATTACTCTAAGTCCCGAGCACCGCTGACCTGACCTGCAGGGTCTCAGGCCTTAGCAGGATTCTGGTTTAGAAACATCAGGTCAAACCCACCTTCTTCAGTGCTTTCTTCTGCTACCTCTGTGCTGCTACTGGAACTCCTGGAAAAGATAGAATGGAGTAGTAAATTGGAGTGGTAAAATCTTAATCTGGTGTTGAGATATACCAATACTTGTCTGTCATAGGCTTCAGGTATCCGCCCATTTAAGTTGATGCTACTGCACTTCATCTCTCTTGTATGAAATGCTTTGACTTCTACATATGGAAAAAGTGCAATTTCTATGTTAAGGACTACAACATGTTACAAAATTAGCATGACTTTTTTGCTCTGGTACTTGTACAGATACAACTAAATCCAAACCACATTTTGTTGTTCAATTTCTGCCTTTCTGTTTCAAGGATGCTCGAGGCTCAATTATCAGAAATGCTTAAGAAATATTTCCAGAAAATCTCACTCTTAATAAGTTTCTGTATCACTTATTTTTCTCTTTTCCATAACATGTCTTCATCAGTCTTTTATTTAATTGCAGTTATATGTGAGGCTGTTTTCCTAATTTTGTTTTCTGGTTTGTGCTAAATGAATTAAAAAACTAAGCGTTGTTTTTCTGGGTGTGCCCTGCACATGTTGTTACAAAAATTCTGCTCCTTGGCATTTCAAGCTAAGATGAGACTAAGCTGTGCTCTGAAACTATTTGGATTTTCTTTATGTTTATAGAAATATTTTTATGACCAGTCTGTTGACAAAATACGTAATATAAATAGCCTTTTGGTTTTTATTAGCACATTTCAAAAAAATCAGCAATTTCAAAAATATTTCATGGATGTATTTTACAGCACCAGTATCTTCTTTCTCCTTATAAATTAGGCATTTATGGTTTATATAGAATCCTGAAGGCGTTGTTCCTGTTTCAGCTGAGGCTGCTCTACAGTAGCTCTTCTGCAACAAATTGCCAAATCTGCTTTTCACTTGGTTCACTTTGCAAATCAAGGCCCAGTTGGGTTTCAGTAGGCTGGTCTGATGCTAATTCACTCAGGTCATTGAAGTAGCTTTCTACTGCATCTTGGCCAAGAAAACACAGTCATTGCTAATTGATTTTTTTTTTATATATATATTTTTTTTAATATAAGCAGAAACTCATTGGAAGTTTTTTGCTATTCACTTAACAGATGATGAGGGGTTTTTTACATCCTTTGTTTATTTTGGTTCAGTGAAAATCATACTGAAACTTAGCGAGAGCTCAAGTGTGTTCAAGGCATACAGATGATATTTCATATTTGCAGTTTATATCATATTTTTAATATGTTAGTGCCTGTACACATCCTTTTTCCAAGTGTGTACGGTATAAATTTATTTACATCATATATAGTTAAATTGAAATTGTTAAAGCATAAAGATCCATATTAGCTTTTCATTCACTAAGCTAAAGTTTTTATTGCTAATAGAACTGGCAGTTACGAACAATGTATTTGCTTTTATTAAGGTGCTTTGCCTGACTAACCCCTCCTGCCCCAAGCAAACAGTGCATTTTGTGGTTCTCTGTCCTCAGTGTTTGACGTGCTCTGCTGCCTCTGGCAGGAGCAGACGGCTCTAAATGCTGCCGCTGCTCTTACTTCTCTGTGAAACACAGTGCACCTTCACTTCTGAGGGCCTTGTTCATATGGTTAAAGAAGTGTCTGTCCCATTTTATGGTATTGTGCTGTTTGCAACTCTGAGAGGAAGTAGTGCTCTTAATTTAGTGTTCTCACTTGGAAATCTCAAATACAGAATGCTCCCCAAAATCACCTTTTCAACAACCAAAGGCTGTTCTGCCATTCAGTGAGACCTGGAGAGGCTAGAGAGCTGGGTGGAGAGCAATCTAATGAAGTTCAACAAAGGCAAGTGTAGGGTCCTGCACCTGGGGAGGAATAGCCCCATGCACCGGTACAGGTTAGGGGTTGACCTGTTGGAAAGCTGCTCTGCAGAGAGGGACCTGGCAGTCCTGGTGGACAAGAAGTTGACCATGAGCCAACAATGTACCCTGGTGGCCAAGAAGGCCGATGGTATCCTGGGGTGCATCAAGAAGAGTGTGACTAGCAGGTTGAGGGAGGTCATCCTCCCCCTCTGCTCGTCCCTGGCGAGGCAGCATCTGGAGTACTGTGTCCAGTTCTGGGCTCCCCAGCTCAAGAAAGACGGGGATCCGCTGGAAAGAGTCCAACGGAGGGCTACAAAGATGATCAGGGGCCTGGAGCACCTCCCTTATGAGGAAAGGCTGAGAGACCTGGTCTGTTTAGCCTGGAGAAGACTGAGAGGGGAGCTCATCAATGCTTATAAATATCTGAAGGGTGGGTGCCAAGAGGAATGAGGCCAGACTCTTTTCAGTGGTGCCTATTAACAGTACAAGGGGCAACAGGCACAAGCTGCAACACAGGAAATTCCATCTGACCATGAGGAAAAACATCTTTACTTTGAGGGTGGCAGAGCACTGGAACAGGCTGCTCAGAGAGGGTGTGGAGTCTCCCACTCTGGAGACCTTCAAAACCCACCTGGACGCCATCCTGTGTAACCTGGTGCTCTGGCAGGGGGGTTGGAATAGATGATCTCCAGAGGTCCCTTCCAATCCCTACAATTCTGTGATTCTTCCCCTATTCATTTTATTCTGTGGCACTTCAATGCATGAACCAGGGGAAATTCCAGAAAATCCTCTGGAAGGGAACTGTTGCCAACTGGCAACTGGCCTGATTTAACTTTGGATTTTTAAGTCTGAAGGTAAGAACCTTCTCTTCCTTCCAGTATCTTGAATTCTGAAGATGCAAATAATTCTGTACAATATACGTATTCGGGCAGATATAGTGAAAGAGATTGTGCACGTTCTGGTTCACAAAGCTGGCCTGAAACTATCTTCAGGTTTAAAAAGCTTCAGTGTTTTGCATGGTTTGTCCCTCAAGGTGAACATAGTGGTAATTCCTGTGCCAGGAGAAGAAAAAACCTCCTGTCAGTTGAAAAAGGTATCTCATAAAGACACTCTGCTAGAATTAGGCATGTTTGAACAAATAATTTGGCTGCCCTAAATTTTTAGATTTAGCTTAAAAGCGGTTGAATGTAGCTTCATCAGACTTTCTTGAAACAAGATTTAGGAAGTGGTAGTGACTTCTGTTGATTGTTGAAATAAAAATCATAATGTTTCTTCTTAAACTGTTGTGCATAAAGAGGAGAAAATAACAAAGGAGTGAAAAGGAAAATGCAGGTTAAACTTAGGTCAAAACCTTTTGATTTGGATCATAAGCATCTTCATTTTTTTTTGCTTTTATCTTTGGCCTTTGAAATAAAAGTCTCACTTATGTTAATTAAGATCTCTTTCTCTCTGGGAAGCGTATTTATTGTCTGTATGAGAAATGTCACTGTGTTCTCATCCAAGGCCATCACATGGGATGAACAGTTCGAAGTTTTTTTCTAAAGGAAGTGCTTTTGACTGTATGTGTCAAACAAGACAACGTACCCTGATACCTACATCTCACTTCTGTTTAGTGCCTCTTTCTAGCAAAGTCCTTGGACAACAAGTTGTCCATAAACACCTTGGACATAGCTAAACTTTTCATTTCTGTTCTGTGTAGGAGAAAGCTAAGCAATACTGTATCTACCAATTGCGTTATTGGTATCTATTCAATGATAATGAAGACAGAAGCCCTCCATTATCCCATTCCTTTGTGTAAAAGTTTGCTTCTAACCCAAGGAAAGCCCTGGAGTTGTGAAACTACCATCGAATGTATTAAAGAACCGCTGAAATTTTAATAAGCTGGTATGTGATGCGCTTACATGCTCCTCATCATAATCGCTTATTTTCAGGAAACCTCATGTCAACTAAACTAGACATAACTAATACTTTGGCATTAGGACTGACAAGATGCAGATAGTCACTGAAATACTTTTCTGAAAACAAGCTCTAAAGCAGAATCATGTTACAGCAGTTCCTTAAGCATCCCCTACTTAGCTGAGTAGTGATAGCTAACTGTATGCATAGTTGTAACTGACAGCAAATTTGAGGTATTGTAGCACGTGGCAAAGGAGAGTAACTAAAATTGCCTCACTTCTCACAAATGAGAAGCCCATGTGAAATACTTACAATTCTGTTTGCAGTGGCACGCCCTAAAGGTTATGTATTCTGTTCATATCTCCTCTGGTTGCAAGATCAAAAGGCAAAAGTTTACACGTGGGAGACAGTGCTGTTCAGATTTGGATCTACTTATTTTCTGTGGTGTTGGTAACTATGG